TTTCCAAATATGTAACAGGTTAAATGACGTTCTAAGGACACAATATACACTTAATTTCAAAATTTATGGTAAGATTATCTTTGAGAGGTACAAGAGAAGGCTTGTAATGTTTGACACTCAGTAAGCATTTTACAATATTTTTAAATAAAACAAATGTGTGTCGTAATTGAATTTTAGGTGTAATCGTCTCTAAGGTGTACACTGAACATTTGTTATTAAATAAATTTGACAGGAATGCAGCGACACCATTGGCAATAGTGTCACAATTTTTGCATACATTAATGCCCTGGATAGCAGGATTGATAACAGGTTTATATAATGCGAAGGTGAGCTGCTGTTTTCAAATAGTCAAAATTGTGAGTACATACTGCACGTTCTTTGCTTTTGCTCACATTGAAGGTCGGTCGATCGAACGAGTAAAATTGAAAATACAAAAAAATTTATTTCAGTATCAATAAAATGAATTTAAAAAAATGGTTGACTCTGTGACCCAAACTCTTGCTGCCATCTACATCTTGACTATATTTTCCTAAACTTTGATCATCTAAGCCTGGGGGGATTATACCACACCTAAATCTCGATGTTAGATCATCTATGACTCACACCCCTAAGCTGTACAAACACGCGCTCAAATGCCACACACGGCAAAACGACACTAAATTGGTTGAATCTTGAAATAAACGGCTGTTTCCACGTCCTCTTCGGTCTGCTTCTTTGCCATGGGTATCAGAGAGGCGTAATCGGACTAGATTCAGCTCAGTGTCTTCGTCGCCGTTCAGGGCCACATGCTAGGGCCCATAGTAATAGTCACTCATTAAAAACGTCACAGAAAATTAAAGACAAGATGCTATAAGCCTTCTTCTACCAAACATATTCTCTAGAGCTGTGTTCTAGAATATAATTTTTCTTAAATTAATGAAGTCTTTATTCTTCTAACAGCAGCCATCAAATGTGGACTCAATAAGTGCTTTGCCTATAAAACGACATCAATTTGCAAAATGAGGCCTACATGTCTACTAAGGAGAAGAACAGTACCTGTTATAGATAAAATAAACTTAAGTCCAGAGTGAAGCAAAAAAATTTTGAAAAATAAAAAATTGCCGCTAATTCATCGATGCTCATGAATTGCGCATACTTAACTGTATTAGCTTTATAAAAATTGTCTTCTATGTTGAGAAGGTAACAATTTGCCGAAGTAAATTAGTTTGAAGGCTCGAATCCTTTAGTGGTTTAAGAAACTAATGAAATTCGAGACATTTTATAAATATTTAGGAAAAAATCATAGGAGACCATAAAGTTAACAATATAATTCCACTGCAGATTTTAATACATTTTGACCCAGACTGTAAAGCAAATTTAGAATCCGCGAGACGAGAATTTCAAGATTTTGCGGTTTTAAGAGGATCCATAACTTTCGTGTCAATGGACACGCACGAAAATTCGAAACCTAAATCATCAAGATGAACAAATGCAATATATTGAAAGGTTATTGCATTATTTTATGAAGAACTAGCAAAAAAACATGGCTTTATATGAAAGTTACTTTTGAAAAAACCAAGGGTTCAATTATGTACTATTTTTAGACTGAACAACGTTTATTTATCTCATGCAATAACGAACATTCCTTTTGGCTATGAAATCATTATCTCTGACAGGTTTCGCAATGTTCTGTTAAAAACCCGGAGAACTGAAATTCGGCAGAGCTTTTGAAAAAATAAAAAAAAACTGAAAATAAGCTTTTGCTTATTCGATTTGTAAAAATTACACCGTCATCTTTGCAAAAACAATTTGCTTCATACTAATCTGGTAACTACCTAAAACAACAGAGACACTAATGGCAGGATAATCGTTGAATTTACGAAATATTATGTATGTCTAAATGCAATTAGATGCTTGGTTATCATAAATGCCATGGTTTGAATTAGTCTTAACTCCAAAATGCTTGATGCAGGAAATATAATTATTTCACAATAAAATTTACGTTGTGCTCTATTTAGAAATGCACTAGCATCAGACTAAAATAAAATAAAGAAACTATTTTGAGAAGCTATTGCGCCAACCTCTTTAACATTTGTTCCAAAATTTGTTTCAACTATGCCCTTGGGCGCTCGTTTGCTTGAGTCACCGACAGCCATAGAGCGCGTCATTTGCTCTGAATTGTAATTGCCTTGTTTTGCTGTCGAGGTTTTCCGATCAAGTTGCCTTGTCTTAAGGCAGTGGTAGTAAGCTAGGCAGATTGTAGGAATATTTTTCAGTCGCAAAGTTAAATCCCTATCTGAGGTTGATTTTTTTGCGATTTCGTTCGAGTAGACCTAACACTTTTATTCAACATGTCCTCGTCGTAATCCCTTGCTCTTTTACTATCATGTCCACTTCATGCCAAGCGTTTTCTCGTAAACAGTGGTAAGTCATTACACCCCTTCCTCCATTTAGAAACATTTTTTTGTTTATTATAGAAGCACGGCTTTAGACCGGGTTTCGCATGTTGATATGCAGTCAGATGTGTCCGTTCTGGCCTGCAGTCCCCAGACAACTCCACTGCTCATTCCCCATTTTATGCGAGCTCTCAAGAAAGAGCATAACCACTTTTCTAACGGTGTTAAAGATGGAGCTCACGATATTAAAACAGTCCTTCTATCTCAATTGGGCAACAAACCTCATGAATTATTCTCATCTTCTGTCCCGCCTGAGCAGCACAAAATTCCTCTTGATAGCGTTGACACATTGCTCCGTAACAAGTCTCTTCCCGAAAACTCCACGCATACGGACAGCGAATTAACCGAGTTATTTCAGTTTGTGAGTGAGCGCTCGGTATACGACAATGAGAAGCCGGTCGACGCTATGTCAAATTCCTTTTGGTTACCAAACACTTCACCCCCTGCTGTGGTTAAAGACGAGGAGCCGCAAAAACCACTTAAACTTCCTGCCGTCGACCAAATTATGCCATTTTACCCAAGATCTCCTTCACCGTCGGGAATTCTATTTCCTCCATTGTCACCGAGTTCTTCGTCCAACGGGCCTGCTTATGAACAGCCAACAGCCACGATCTCTTCATCCTCTCCTTTGAATTACGTTTCTGCCAGTTTATCTCCTTCACAGACGTTAACACCGACATTTGTAGCAAGTGACATAAGTTCGACAGTAAGCACTTGTACTATTATCCTAGAGGTTAATGTTTTTTAACTCTTTATTGCTTCAAGTTCATTTACATTTCCGAGATCTTTATTCTGTAGTGATGTCTTATCTGGCTGCGATAATCGATGCATCGTTAATTTTAATTGTTGTAGTCACATCCACAGAAAGAGTGCATAAAGTGTCCTACAATGCATTATTACTTGGACTGGACAGATGCAATGGCCATGTATGAGTAACGGGAATCTGTATTTGTTAAACGGACATTGAACTTAGAAAGGTGTCAGCCACATCGAAAGATTCCAGGTGACTATATCCCAAAGGAAATGCTAAAATGTGTTGCTTCTCCGCTTTCTAAACCTGAACGCAATGCTTTCTTCTCATGTAGTTTTTCTGTGATTTAAGCAAACATTAAAATGTTGACTATCAAATCTTTGAATCTCGTTTGTCTGTTAGCTAGCTGTATTCATACCTTATTTCCCTACTTTACAAGTACGATTGCCTTCATTTTTCGAAGCCCTTATTCCGAAGCCATGAGGCAAGAAAACATGACTTAATGGGTAATCTTACTGGAACAAAGAGGAATCATTTGTAGGTAGTCGTCTCGTTACTTTTTCAACGGTCCTGCTGAAACACTTCCTTTCAGACTTCTGTCGCGGTTCCACTTTTATTAGTGGTATCTCTTTAGTCAGTTGTACATGCTTCAGCATTTTATATTGTTTTGATAAACTCTGCAGAATCGACTGTAGCAGCATTAAGTTTATTTTTGTTGATGGTCATAATTTGCATCTTAATTTTTAAAAGGATGCATTACGAAGCTTATCGATTTAGTCAACGTTTTGGAGACGTTAACGAGCCTCCGTTTCTTAAAAGAAAAGGATTTAACATGTTTACAGAAAATTTGCGGTTGATTGTGCTCAAATTTTGCTTGTAGTTGAGAAATCCGACATAAGATCGGCATTCTCAGGATAGCTACTCTTGACATAATGAGTAGAGAGTACATTTGCCATTTTTTCCTTTTTATGTAATCTAGCCATCAATAATTCAGCCTCCTCAGGGAAAGTGTGATAACGACCAGGCACCTTCAACTACCTTTCCCGTTCAACAACGCCAGTGGAGATTTATTTCCGTTCCCACGAAGCCAAACAGCGAACAGGAGCAAGTTGCTAGGACACCACCTTCGGATCAGCGGCTTCAGCCTCCCCAAACCCCGACTCACCAACGTTTCATCCTTCCTAACACGTCAAGACCAAGCTTCGAGGTGTCCATCTCGAAGCAGACGATCCTCGTCCCGGTGACTGGTGGCACTGGGGGTGGAAACTCCCTCCTCCTTCTCCCTCTCGCTGTTGCAGCGGCGTTCCAGCAAAAACAGCCGCAACCTGCTCCTTCGAGTGCGACCTCCACTGCACCGACGCCCCTTCCCTCTGGGCCAGCTGGCAACGGCGGCAACGCTAGTGGACTGACGCAGTTCCTCTTGATTCAGACCGGAGAAGCAGGCAAAGCTGCACCTGTCAATATCATTCACCCAACCAAAGGTTGGTTGTGCTCTCCCTGTTCTACGTTTTTTACACTTATCTCCAGTGTTTTAAGGAAGTGTACTCAAAAGTATGTGTAGATTTATGCGCCATCTTTACATAGGTAGGCCCGTCACATTTCTCTCGGCTTCAGTTGATTTACCTGTCATTGGAACATTTCAATGTGCTTGACAGTTTAATGAAACACCTTAAATTGTGTTCCATCTGTGATGGATACAAATTGTCACAATTCACTACACTCAAAGTTCAATGCATATTTCGGAGAGATCTACTGGAACGTGAAACCAAATCCGAAGCTTGATCTTGAGTAACTCGCGGCTGAAGCCAATGTCATGGTGCGGTTATGTAAATTATTATAAGATCATCTAAACTCAAACGTCTCGATCCCTTATCGTATTAGCGCCTTGTCTGTACTTCTAAGAAGACTAAGTAAACTATTTCTCCTCCACTTCAAAGATGTTTTAACCAAAACGATTGTCATGTTGTTTTCCAGTCTGGTCATTTTCGGTTGACAGCAATTGTGTAAGTCAGGCTTCAATCGCTGCTTCGCGTTGAATGATCAAAGCCTCTTCCTTTTCCCCGTATCGACCACGTGACACCGCCTCATTTGTTTAAATTTGGAATGAAAGTGGTGGAGTTAAAGTTGGCTCTTTGTCGGAACTCTTTCTTGCCATTTGCTGAACTGTGTGTGAGTTGCGTGGTATTTCGACGGTTTCCTTTGATCACCGCAATAAATTCACCCAAACAGATGGTTTATTTAAATCACAAACCTTTGCATCATTTACACACGTTTACTTTGTCAAATCTCCCACGTGGTGTGATGAAACAGCTGTTTTTTTAAAATTGTATTCGGTTTTTGGTTAAAAAGAGTATATTCTAGTGTTTTATCTGGTACCATTTGTAAACAAACTTTTGCAACTGAAATATTGCCGTTTCATAATGCTCTTCTAACCACTCTATAAGTCTTGTCGGTTATGGTAGGCCTACATATAGTCTGGTCGCAACCTGATTTTGACTCAATTTTTACAGCCCAATGTTTGTAATTTTTCTGTACGCAATAATCTCGGTTCCTATAAATGGAATCGTCTACGGTGTCTTGCTGAGATCGCAAGTACCTGTTTGTGCATCACCGCACATCTTTTCCAATTGATCTAGAGTTCCCACTCTTTCTGTGATGGACATTGTTCGTCCACCGAATTCCGCTTTTGAGACAGTGCAATCTAACTCTAGCTAAACATTACAGGTGATATTGGCTTTCCAGTCATCGCCGCGTCAACTGAGACAAGCATTCCTACAACTCCCGCCACGACAACCGCCAGCATCGCTCCCGCTCCCGTGGGGGTTGTACGGAAGGCAGAAGCCCCTACCCAAGTCCTGCCCGCTACTCGTGTCCCCCTGCCACCGGTAGCTGCCAAATCCGCCGTATCAATTCTTCCTCCTGCGACGGAGATTCTGCCCGCACCACTCTTCGCTAAGCCCTCCGACAAACTGCGTTCCTCTCTCACCATCACAGACGTCACCGCCAATTGTGGCACTCCCACGGTTAGACGGCGACACCAATGCCCCTTCTGCACAAAGAGTTGTGAACGGAAGGATAACCTCCAGGCTCACATCCGAACGCATACTGGTGCGTATTCTGCTCCACCTTTAGCCAGGGATTTGGGTTCGCGTAAACCTCACACATTGGACCAGTTTCCACTCATCTTAATTCCGGTTTGGTTTGTAGTACTGCGTTAGTTCTTCCGTCGGGCAATGATCTTATTCGGTAAAAATCGGATCTCCTGCATTCTTGTCGGCTACAAATGTTTTCGTAGAAAACAACTGTGTACTAAACAATTTACCAGGTTCATTTAGTGAGTTTAAATGCATTGCGTATGCTAAAAACCGAAATTGGAAAGCAGCCATTGTTTACGTCCATTCACTCCAAGGTAATTATATTATGCAAACCATTTAGATGGTCATGGTAATTCGTCAGACACATCTAACTGCAATTCCATCGAAACTATTCTCTGTCTCTGTTGGCTCGTGTTAACGTGTGAGCTATTGCAAAGCAGTGTAAGAAATTTTTTAGTTCAACTTCTGATAGCTGCCTAATGACTTGTTTGGTCATGTTGGTCGGTTTATTTGAGACCAAAGTTAGTGCAAAACTACCATGTGCTAACCATCTGGCAGCACTGCAACACTGAACATAAGAAGCAGCAACGCGAGCCAAATAATCAGCGGCGTAGGAGTCATAAACGAGTATGTGTGTGTGTGTGTACGCCTGTTCTGCGTTTTGTGAATTCTCGCTTTGTTGAATCACCAACGCGTCAATGTAGCTGGTAGGTTTTTTGCGGCTTGGGACAATCGAATCTCGGCAGAGATCGCAGGCAGCCCACGCCACACACGAAATTTCTTGGAGGTAGTGGCGGGTAGTTGTTAACGTCTTTTTTATCTACCGGTACGTTTTACTGCGTCCAACGTTTTTTTGTACATTGACACACTCAGTCCATCTGGACATGTGTTCAATACGAGATGTCCGGCCTTGAAGTCACGCCAGGTTAGATGCGACTTCGTGACCAATTCCCCGGTGTGTTGCTAGCCATGGCGTTTTTTTGACGAAATGCTAACGAGTTTGGATGAGGCTTTTGTCGTCTCCCCTTTTAACTCTACAGGCGAGCGTCCCTTCCCGTGTCGCTTCTGCCCGAAGGCGTTCCCACAGAAGGACCACTTGCGTGCACACATCCGGACGCACACCGGCGAGAAGCCCTATCGCTGCCTGCAGTGTTCCAAGGCCTTCGCTCAACTCGGCAACCTCCACCGCCACGTAAAGACTCACCGACAGTGAATCGGCTCCACCCCTTACCGGGCTGGCATTTGCGCCACTGCGTCTTCCCACAAGCGTCTCCTTCAGTTGTGACTATCATTCCTACCTGCGTAGCACCATCATGTAAGGCTCTTCGTAGCATAGTTTCCCCATTTTACTCATTACATCCTAGTGGGCTTTAGGCGTGACACCCAATTGGATTGTCGTACTGCCGTGTGTTCTTCCACTTATCTTATCTACCACTGCTACAATAGAATAAGGAGTTTAAAATCCCAGGGTCTAATCATTCCTACATTTTACCATTTCATGTCTACTGTTATTCCTAGATAGGCATTAATATTCGCTCTCATTTAATGCAGCTTTTAGCACGCAATTTCGCGTCAGTGAATCTCAGGTACTTTTGCACTCATCGCATAACGTTCGTAAAGCATATGCACCTTCTATTCAGTACTTGGTTGGTTGATTTATGCACAACCGTATTCAGCGTGTTGTCCACTGAACTCGCCCAACTTTTTCTTGCGAGTTGACAGTGGTGAGCTCCTTTTTAATCTCAGATTCAATTTCAAATCACCAGCCTTGCGAGATCTTGTACAACCTGAAAATCGGCGTTGCGGTTTGCCGGTACATCGAGGCAAGTCCCCAGGGGCAAATAGGTTGACCCCTATGTTCAGCACGTCAGATTAAAAGTGCACTTGAGGATGATTGGGCCAATAGGAAGAAGGCGGTCGATTTGAATAGACAAGTTGGGGTGCACAAACCTGAACGATTGAGAAATATGAATTTAATTAATCTTGGGAATGCTGAATCCCCAAGAGGGCGCTAAATTCCTCTTATTCAACTTTGTCCTCCCTTTTACGATTTTCCCACACCTTCAGCTGAAATTTTGTTTCTCGCCACTGCCTTCATGTCATGTGGGTTTAAGTGCATCATCTCATTAGCGCTTTCAATTAAGGCAAAAGTTGTTAATAGCCTTTTAACGAAAGCTACTCTCTCACATGCACGCAGCTTAGGCTGGCTGATTTGACCTACTGGTGTTATTTAAAACGAATTACCATAATTTGAGTCTTAGAGACACATGTGGAGGCATTTTGTGGAGCGCACTATCATCGCCAGAGCTGGAAATCGGTCGTTTTGGCGAATAGAATTACCTGGGCTTCTGTGTGTATGCAAATTCTACGCTTGCACCGCGCGCAAATGGAAGCCATCTCATTAGCATTGGCCTGTAGTGTTTTCCGATGTCTTCTGTTGTGTGCTTTTTTTCAACCCTACTGTCACCCTCGCCAGACCTTTTTCTGGTCTGCCAAACTGCTCGATTTTGGCCAATGGCAGACTCCTTTGCCACGGACCAGTAGAAATCGATTTTGCGCAACGCAAAGCCACGACTAATACTTGGCGTCGCCTGTCCAATTGGCCATTTTTATCCTCAGACATGATAACGATATAAGGGAGATTCACTCACGGTAGTCATTTGAAATGTGCCCTGATTTGTCCGCATAGTATAAAAAACCACGAAATCTATTTCCAACGCTTTTATCGTGTCTGAGTGAAGAACCCTGTAAAGAAGTTTGGTCATATCTGTCGTGGTTTTTCTAGTCGTTCAGTCTGCACCGTTTTACAACTTGTCTGCCCAACTTAATTTCGTGAGCGCTTCATTGCGATCAACTTTGCATCAGCTGCCTCGTGTTATCCAAGTGCTCTGTGTCACATGTTGAATCACCTAGTTGCGAAATTACTCTGTGTACCAAATGGGAACAACTAAAACGGAGTCGTAGGGCAAATGTCGCCCTGCCCCTTTTCCAACGGGCTGGTTACTTTGTCGTCCCACTTGCAGAGGTACTGGTGGTGACTGTTCTTTGTTTTACATTAAAAAAAGATATAGGCCGACCTACCTATCCTTTTCTCACTAAATCAAGCAGGCTATTGCTGCAAGGAAACCTGATACGCGCTAAGATACATCAAACTCTGCCGTGTGTGTGTGATTTTTTGCGTGCTTGTGCTAGCCTGGGAGAAATGTTTTGGCGTCTCCTGGGTGTTAAGATATCTGCAGCATTATGTGTGCAAATTTCTCACCACTTCTCACGTTTACAATATTTTGATCAACACAGGGGCAGGCGTATTGTCTCGTATTAATTTTTGGAGTAGTTATCCTTTTGCCAAACCACTAGTAATGAATAGTCCAGTTGACTTCATACTGCCACCAACACCCCAACGTATGTCGCGTGTTTGAGGCTATTTTGTACTTGCTTCACTCATCTGAATCCTATCGTTGTTGTTATTTGCGTGAGTTAGTAGTACCGGCCGTCACATGGGGTGTTTGAGTCGATTTGCACTGATTTATATCTAGCATATTTATCTATGTCATTAATGTTTTTGCGAAGCAGATATCTTTGAGGATCTCGTCCTCCGGGGGCCGACAGCCATGCAGACTGAGATCCATAAAATTTTCCACCAAACAGCGGTTTTTTCTGTCGTCTGGAGATGAGACCATCTTTGTAGTAAGAACGTCGCTCTCAACGCTGAATCCTTTGCTCAATGTACTTCTTACTGCTTCTGTCAAATTCCTTGCGATATCGATAGTGGTAAAAAATTACTTCACCGCTTGAGTAAATTTTGTCTCCATTGCGTTATGACCTTCCGCCTCTGCAGTTCAGCTTCAAGTGTCTGTGGCATTTCTTGTAATTGTCAATTCTAGTCCTATGTTCACTTGTCTTGCAGTATTATTGCAAGACACACCATGAGCGTCTTTGTGGTGATCGCCCACACAATCACTAGCGATGATGCCGTCTTATCAAACTTTCATTACTGAATATCCATCTCTATCAATGAAGTCTTTGAGTCGGCTGTTCTGCTAAAGCCTTTGAAATTTGGCTTACCTGAATGCGCTTCCCAACGCAAATAGTCTGTCTCCTCACCAACAAGCTGGTCTCACACACCATGGACACACTTTTCTTTTACTTGTGGCATTGTCTACGCTTTAACAATAATCTTGTGTTTTTTCTTTGCTTTCAGTTGCCACCTAAAAACGCAAACCTACCTCGTGTCACCCGAATTTCACCTGAAATCGCGGTCAGCGATGTGTCTCCAGGCATTTTTAATGCATTTCAAACGCACACACAAACTCCTTCCAGTGCAATATACATAGACATCAGTGCAATAACAACTCCGCCACCACCACCACCACCACCTTTTCCTCCTTTATATCTGTGTGTCCTGTTGTCACTCATTATCCTGCGTATTTGTCTACTGCCTTCCTCTACTCCACCTCCGTCATTTGTGCCAGCGTGTCCCTCCCTTTGTAGAGGCACTGTTTTTGTAGGTAAAAACTGCAATCGTCTGTGGTCCCACTCTCATTGGCTACTGTTCTCTTCTATCTTTTACTTTGTTAATATCAAATTGTTGCGATTATACCGTATCTTGTATAGTTGCCCATTGGAAACACCTTTGTTTGAAAAAAGTGTGCATCCATGGGCACTTTCCAATCAGGGGTCTCCCAAACGCACGATTTGTGGTGAATTCGGCCTGCTAATCTGTTGGGATATTGGAAACAGATAGATTCCTCGTGTGCTATTTTTTCGATTCACCGGTTTTACCATGAAGATGAAAGATTTAATTGCTTGACGTGTCTAAAAACGGCTGAACAACTAGGTTAACCACCTTTTCTTTGGTACTGCCACATCGCGTCTGTGCCCCGGTGATTCATCGGTTATGACAATCCTAACTATGTGACTTCTTGTTACGCATAATATTTTGAGCAATTCGTATGGGATAATTGGTTACGGGACGCGTCTTTATTCCTCGATTGGATGCATGAAGCGTCTAAGTGCTTTAAATCTAACCATCTGGCTAAAATGTCCGTCAACTGAACTATCATTTAAAAGCGATTTCCTCCATACAAGTGGTGCAGCGCTCTTCACAGGTCAGTTTGTATGCGCGTACGACTGTTCTTGGTTATCGGAGGAACGGTTTGCCAGCCAAGTGGAAGGATTTATTCTGAGTGGTTCGGCGATGACGGAGTGACGACTTTTAATAATTAGATAACCGTCCGCGTCATGAGGCGCACTTGCCACTTCAAGAAAGAATGCATGATGCAGTCGGAATCAGTAGAACGTGGATGCCGCTCAAATAAAATCCTGTGAAAAAAGCGAATCGCTGCGTGAGGATACCTGAGAACTGATGTTGACTATCAGCTAAGAGTCTGACCACCCATATTGAAACTTGGGACCGAATTTAGTCCACGTTGACCAAGCAATTCTAGGTTAGTGGCGCTACAACCTCTACTTTCACACAAAATATCAGTTTATAGATATGTCAGATCGATCACTTCTATGCGATTCTCCAGTTCATTTAGCTCATGCCTGCCACCTACAATCGTTTTTAGAAATTGCCAATTTTTCGGATCGAAGAAGGTATGCAGAAACACAAAGGATCCATTCATTCTTTTCTTAGAGTGTAGAGGTTGTTTAGTCAAGTCGGCTTAAAATTTTGAATAATAACAAGCTAAAATACTGCTACCGATAATAACAATTAAAAAACCTGGTTGTATCCAGTGAACATATTCGTATTTCTTAATTTATTAAGTCTATCCCCATATTAGTGCAGTTTGTTGTGTCTGATGAGCAGGTATCAGTAAAGGATCGGAATATCGAAATCACAACTCGCTTCCACTTGTAATACTTTGTACCAGTTTGCGCCTCCACCAATTTCAGCAGCCCAGACGCAATGAGTAAGCTGTGATAGTTTATACACATCCAACAGTCTTGAAAATCCCATGGGGCAAAACGATGAGTCACGCTTTCCTGAAACGCATTGGATGCTGTCCGGTTCATGAGTCACCACCCTTGTGATCGGTCACCCACGGCCGACGCCTTGTGATTTTGCATTACACCTATTCTGACTTACCAAATGCTGCCTCATCGCTGGGCTTAGCACCCAGCCCTAAGCCTCTTGAGATTATTATTATTTACCATTCTTATATTGTAACAGATGATTTTTGTACTACCCATGTCAAAATCGTAAATGTCTTAGCAATTGGTTGATGTTGTGCGATTATGGTCATTGAATTTCAAATCAAGTGTACAAAAAAATTAAACTTTCCGACTTAAATTAAGCGAACTATTGACGATTTCCGTTTCCTACTGAAAATACAAACAGCCTGAGGTAATATTGGTCTAGAATTTCTGGGACCATTCAATATAATTTCCACGAATGTCTAGCAGCATCTCTACTGCCCCCTTTAAGTTAATTCCAATCTGAGTTGCTTTGTATGCGCAGAACTCAACACTGAAAAGGTGTCATAGAAAAGATCCCATGAAAAATTCCCACGAGATATCGCCTCAATTAACGATGGTTTCATTTTAACGTGAAAGAAATGAACACGCAAAACATTCAGTATAGGAACTGGAGTGTAAAATGCTATTGGTGTGCCAAGCTAGATACTCGAATTTCGTAGTGCATATTTTTTTGTGAAAAATTGACTGAGTTTTAAAAAACTCCGATTTTTTTGCATTACCACTCAATAAGCGACGAATACAGGGTTTCGTAAAGGCTTAGAGTAACCAATATTCGAACCAGTGGACGTATCTTTAAAAATTAAATCCAACAAAGTTAAATAACGCTGATTGCGTTAGACCGAAATAGGATTTTGTAAATAATTAAAATTTACGGCTAGTTATGTGACATATAAATGCCACTTTTCGTTATATCCTTAAGCTATTGGATGTTCTCGTTGACTGACTCAAATAAATATTTACTAACCTATTATAAGGTCACAACAGCAACGCCTATGCCATTTTATTACAAAAATGTGCTACCATTCAATCTCCATTAACATTTAGCATGGTGTGGTTTTCAACAACGTCTTCAAAAAATTATCTGTGGAGGCATCAGGTAAATATGACTCAGACAATTGGTGACTACTTTTTCTTTCGATCTAAGTTTAATTGGTATTGTGCACAGTAAAAGAGCAAAGCGTATTATAATTATTCTACAATAATGGGGAGGTAATGATTTAAACCACTGCCCTTTTGAATAAAAAAAGACATGACAAGGGTCCATTCAAAAGGCAAATCAGTTTATTTCGATTTAATAATAGTAAAAAAAGAAAATTTGGTTCGAAACAATAGATCGAATCACTTACAACTAAAATGGTAGATTGTCACTACGCATTGACCGATAGAATTTAAAAAGAGAAGAGCAATTTATTTGGGCGAAGGTTCCGCTGAAATGTTCACTATGCTTTGCTCATTGCAAGGTACCCCCTATTTGCTTCATTTTCGTTCTCCGGGGAAACGTTTTTGGCTTGATTAAAGTCGGAAGTGCCATTGGAGGCTCTTTTTAGCGGTTTTTCTTTTAATTCAACCTCTTCATCACTGCTGGAACTGCACTCAAAGTAGCTGTAATTTTCTGGAACTAGGTGGTGAGCAGTAAACATGTACACGTTTCCAGTATCCGACAGCCGGCATCCGAAATTGCCATCGGTTTGAATTAACTTCACATCGACAGCCCAATCCTCGTCATACAAGTCCCTCATCAAGGCGGCTCGCAATTCAGACTCCCGCCTGGCGTACAGCGGCTGTGCGACTTTCCAGTTCTTCGGCGGATCGACGTACATCTCCTCCGTGACCGGTGCTTCCCGACGATGGGGGCGGGACTTGCTTTTTTGCGATTTCGATGATGTAGACGGAGTTGAATCGACGTGCAGTGGGGTGCGTGGAAGAGACCTTGGCGAGGTTTCATCATCCGACACCGACAGGTCAGCTTCTAGTCCAACTGGAACAGCAGAACGAACCTCATTTCTAACTGTACTCTCGACGCGAGGTTCTTCAGCATCGCTAGGCTTCGATGCTGCTTCAGTAGTCCTTTCAGTGGGTGTGATTTCCCGTGGCGAGGTTTCAGGGGAAGAATGTGCGCTCTTTCTAGTGGTGCTTGGTGTGCTTGGTGCATCAGATTCCTCGTCATCAGTCTTCCCACTCTCAACCTCTTCCACTTTGTACGAAAGTGGCCTGTCAACTGACTTCCCGTTCTCCTGCATTTCGACTTCACCTTCTTCGGCACCACCAACCTCAGATGTTCTTGATTGACCAGGAGAGGGTGTGACAGGTTGTCCTGAAGAAATTTGAGAGCTTAGTCGTTTCCGTCCACTCTGTATTACGTTGCAGACTCGATTTGCATCAGACTCGCTCTTCATCTTTAGTAATAAGTAGGCTCGATTTCCCTCCGGTTGGTCTGGAACGACAAGGATTACCAACTTTGGATCGCGTGCAAATATAAAGAAGCGATGTACTTCATTGCATAATAAAGATAATTCCCGTGGGGCCGAACTGACAACTGCTTTTCTCTTCAGAATAATTCGGGTATCGGTACCGATAACTTTGACCTTGTAAGATTTTCCAATGTGCTGGCGGGAGCGTAGTTCGAGGACTTCTCGAGCTCCCTGAATGTCCACTTCATCCTGAGGCTTGATTGGAACGCGACCCTCAACAACGGCTTCTGCTTTAAATTGAGCAGATATCTTATCTTTGTGATGCCTTCCTTTCGCGGTGGATGTGTTTGTTGACATTCCTGGTTCTGGTGAAGTGCGCTAAGAGTGTATGGATGTTCTTAGTGTATGTGTGCAACTCATCGTAGGTGTGCAAGACTCAACCAATGAACACCTGAGAAGCCTAACATCTGATTGGGCAGCTGGAGCTGTCGCTATAGCACTTCTGAGTGATCGTAGTGGAGTAACTAAGTGTGGGTGTGCAATATTGGTGAAACAACGCTTTTGATGCATTTTCTACTTTTTTTTATTGATTTATGATATTCCCATTCGCTTTTGGATGTCACTTTGCTGATCGTCAGTGCAGTTCTAAAGATGCTTAGTATTTTTTGGCGAAAACTCGAATTAATTCAAAATTACGTCAGCAAATTAATGTCTTTTCAGTTTCTTATTTTTCGCCAAATGATACCTTGGCAACAATTTGATAAAATAAAATTAAAATAAAGCATTTCACGCGAAAGGTCAAGTTTCTCAGTTTTTTAATAATTAGAAGACCTCTCCTCTACCATTTAGAAGAATAAGTAATTCCGTTTATTCATGACACAGTCTAAACCCATGATATTTGACTTTTCACAAAATTAAACCACTAAGCAGCGCTCCTCTTTCTGAGGAACATGTTTCTCAGTCTAGTCTTCCGAATCAAAAATTTAACGTTTCAAGTCTTGAATTAATGAGGTATGTCATGTAAATGATTTATACGTCGAACTGAACCTAAAAATGCTTAGTCACGCTTTCGTAGAGTAATTAAACAGCATATTTTATGCAATCTGCAATTAACATGGTCCATCAACTGCAGATCCAGTAATGTTAGTGGTTATATTGCTTCATGTCAACGTAAACTGTGTACTTTCGAGTTTTATATCGCTACAGAATTTAAGAGTCAATTATTTGTTCATTTTAATATTCATGATTGTGTGACTACTTAAAACCAACGAGACGGTTTCTAAATTTTCTAAGTTATTTAATAAGAAATTGAACAAATTAAAATTAATGTTTACCTGTTGTGTCTGGTCACACCAGTAAGAATAGGTGTGTCGGTAAAAAGTTATGAGTGCAACCATATTTTAAGCTGTCCAGTAAGTAACTTTGGTTGGTTTTTAACTGATAGGACTGGAAAACCAGCAACCATGTCGTGTTTTGTACACCCATGCAAAAATACGAAACAAGGCAATTAAATCAAGCCATGCGTGAGCACCTTTATTCAGCTCAAACGTTTAAGTGTTTTGGTGGATCTAGTTACTGCTGACTGGCTAAATTTGTGAACATTTTGTCAAGCAATAAGAACTAACATGCTTTCTCTATGGCTGTAAGACAAGTAAAACAGCATCCAGATATAAACGCTGTATAAAAACACAACGTAAACCTTAAAACGCATAATACCTGAAATGCATTCCTAGGGATCCTGGTTATTTAAAGGCCACAGAAACAACAGATATTTTATGGTGACACTGATGTGCTAAATAAAGGAGCAGAATAAGTACAAGATCTTCATTAGGTTTGATTTACTCAATAGCTTTGAAAATAATGCATCTTCAAATAAATAACTTGCATTATTTCGAGGATAGAGTTGCAATGCTAGAGAGGTGATGCTTAAGAGCTCAACGCAGGAAACTGATAAACGTTACCGGTTTTGACAAGAAAGGTTAGCAGTAAGTTACAAAAAGTTAAAAGCCACAAAATTATGCCACGTGTCTTTAGATTTTGATGGTACTATAAAAGCGGCTCTTGCGTCAAGGTTGTATCACAAACCCTTTGATTTGGTGGTTGGTCTGTGTTTTGCGAAGCCAGTTTGATAATAGTTGAGTGATCCGGGTGTCTTTCACAAGGCACCAGTTTGTTTGAATTTCTTAATTCTAGCTATGAGCAAATGCGTAAACATCTTTGTGACAAAAAGTGACCTTTGTAGAATTTAGCACACGTTATACCTTCTAATTTCAAGAATCGTTGCGCACTTCCTTCACAAATTAAGGAGTATCTTGAGGTGACTTTATCATAAGCAAACTTTGTCCATTTAAGCTTATTATTTCCATCGGTTGTAGCAATGCTGTACGTGGGTTCCTATTTTCGCATATTCGTTAATTAGAACGCCATCCTCTTCTTCAATGAAAGACAGACGAACGTGGCATAACAATTTTTAGTTGAATTGAACTCTAGTCGTTAAAGGCCGCGCATTTTAATCTACACGCCAGATTCCAATTACCATACCCGATTGTGAGACATCGGTTATTTCTCAGCTCTCAATTTAAATGGAATCCAAGCAATCTGACAGTCACGATATTGTCCTGCTGGAACAAGCCAATTATATGAGGAAAAAGTCAACAAGTGTTCTAGGAAGAGGGTAAAAATGGTCATGAACAAAACGGAAGTTTCACAACCGTTTTCGGAGACTACGTGGTCGTACTGATACACAGTAAATGAGTAATTTTCAGCCGTGATCTTGAGGGGGGATTACACAGTGGCCTTAGAAAGTTATAGTTTAATGTAGTAAATCTCCGATTCTAATACTCCGTGCATATAAACTGACAAAATATTAAAAGTTCTAAAGGTTATTGATCTGGCCTCAGCTTACATTATTTCTTTCTACCTCTTGTTCAATGCCTTAGATTTCAGTTGAAGTCAGCTAGATTTACAACATGACTTCGTGAGTTAGATAAAGCAAAGAAAATCGACCTTTCATAATGAAACGTCCTGGTTATTAGGCAATTATTCCTTGTTGATATATTAGCATATTTTGTCTTGAATTTTGCATGAGATTCAACGTAATTTTTAATGAGTAATTGGGATTAAACTTAATTTTTTTAAAATTTTGCATAATGGCTTCAGTAAATGCATCAATTTTCCAATTTTGTAGTCAAAATTTTGAGCAAAAATATTGAATTTATGTCAAACTACATGAGTGGTAAACGCAAGGTATGCGCATATTGCCATTACTAAAAATTAACTTCGAATTATGACCACTATTGCAACCAATTCTTCAAAAATTTTATTGTCCCCGAATTTTGCACACAGCTTCCTCACAAATGTTGAATGAAACTGTTTCATATTTGTGAATTCAAGTTTGGGTGCTCATGTCAAAATGTGCAGTGGCGCTTAATCTATCAGCCAACTGCGCATTAAGCGATGTTCAAATAAAACGGAACATGTGATTGTAACCGAATGCATTCGTTTATTGTTTAAGAATAGTCATTACAGATTAAGGAACTAAAAGTTTGTTTAGTCGGACAAATATATGAGTGCTTCGCTAAAAAAAGTTAAAATCTTGGCATATCCACGTTCAAGACTCTTTAGTGATCTGTTTCTAAAGATATTGAAAGTAGTGATAATCCAGTCACTTTGCCTGGTTTAATTTGTTTTTTGGTTAAAACAATAATGTCAACAATTGGACTAAGCACCTTTGTCAACGCCAATGTGTAAAATACCAAAGAATGTTTCTTTTGCCTAAGAAACCAAATATTTTGGCTCCGAAATGTTATTTCCAACATTTCTAAATTTTTTAATGACTTTTTGTAGAACGAGCTTATTTGAGACAACCCAATGATAAAGGAGGTTAGGTCTGCAATAGATCCGAATTATGTTGGCTGGTCGAAATACTTATTGGCTGAAGTATATTATTATAAACACCGGTATCTTATAACTTAAAAATATCTCTATTTCATTGCCATAAATTTTAAATGAAGCATGAATCTTGAGGTACGATCAGTAGAGTCTTGTTAGACAAACTAATGTTAAATAGAATAAAGATATTAAGCAATCTTAAATACGCACAGCAGTTTTCTTTGTGTCTGAAGGAATGTCGATAGCTCTTTTACTCTTGTTACAAGCCAAGAATTCTACAACTTAGTCTGTACTTATTCGCTTTTGGCCGTTTGTTTAACGTAACTTATGGAGATAAGTGCAAGACTGTAGCAAAGGAATGAAACAATTCCGTTTTAAATTTGTGTACACTATGACGCTTTACCGGCTAAAAGTAATCTAAATAATAAAGTTTGTTGAAAATTTAATAAAAAAAATCATTTGTTTAATTAAAATAATGTAACTTTGGTATGCTTTTCTGAGCTGATCATTAGATTAAAAATTTTTTACCGCTGAGCATACTGTAGACAAAGGAATGTTATTTTCTTCCATCTGCTTAAATTTAAAGTGTAAGAGAAACAAAATAATTTTGATTTAATTTGACATGACAAAATGAAACCACCAAAACTGTCTTTATGGCATTAATCTTTACAAAGGTAAGAAAATCAAGTAGAAACTAATTCATCATTCCTTAAATTAAGATTTTTAGGCTCTTGCACATCATGCTAATTGGTCTTTTGTGGCTTACGATAACTGCGATAAGTGGAAATATTCCCATATTAATATGTATCAGTTGCTATAATTATCTATTATTCAAGATTTATTAAGCGCCACAAGAACTCACACGTTTTTAAGAATACAATAACACAGTGCATTTTAATCTAGTTGTAGGTTGTTTTTTTTTTAAATAAATAGTGACTATTTTTTATGCGTGTAAAATTTTATTTTGCAATACGTAGTACGATGCGTCAAAACTTGTAACTGTCTTTGCATTAACTACTAGCGAAAAGGCAGGCGCTTCCACCTGGTAAGTGAGCTTATAGACACATTTATTTAAAAAAATTAGGCAAAATTAACAAGTATGAATATATAAAATGAATATATAACACATGACCGTTGGTACGATCGCAGATTTACCAAAGAGTAATGGAAGAGGGACAAACTGATGACTTCAGCAAGAAAAATAATGTGGCAAAGGCATAACACGGAAACTGATAGTACGATGATTATCTGCAGGTACTTTGGTCTAAGGAGGTTGTGTATTTCATTTCAATTATAAAACAGTTGAGTTAAGAGAAATTAAAGGGGTTCATAAATGTGAAGAGCAACCCTATGGTTTAATGCTGGCATTTATACATCTCACCGGCGGTTGAAAATTCGGTCACACGAAATGTGCCAGGAAAAAAGTGTGGCACAAAATCAGTCTGCCTTAATGAAGGTCATATAACTGGCGTTATTACAAAAGGAAGGCGATATTGATTTGACTTAGTAAGAACAGATTTCAAAGGCCGACATGAACATCGGTGAAATAGATAGTAACGATATTGCCCATTATCAAAGTTTTTCAGGTGAAATGCCATTTTAAAGAGTTTAAGATTGCGCCAGGTAGTCTCAGCTTTAACTTGGATCAAGATCTTTAAGTTTCGATAAATTTCCTTTATTATAAATCACATGTTCAAATTTTTTAGCATACCGTTAATTTAAATTTATACATTAAGTAATAACAATAAAGAAAGTAAAACAGTCTTTAACGATTACTACCCACTAAATGCTCATCTTTAACTGCCAAAAAGCTTCCGTGCGTACAAAAAAAAAATTAAAGGGTTTTCGGTGATTAGTTAGTGGACATAATTAGAAAGTTTGAGCGAACACGAATTTACGTAATTCCAGTTGCAGCAGGATTCAACATGGGCAGAGTATAAAGTATGAATTTGGTGTTAAAAATGCATAAAAACAAGTTAAAATTTATTTGCAAAACCAAAGACAATTCAAGCAGTTTTCTGCTCCATCAATTTAAAATGAATTCATCATGAAGTTAATCTGCTTTAAATTAATCTAGAATGGTTGCTCTGACCTACATTTAGTTATTACGGCTCAATAAATAAAACAAAACAGACCATGTAACATGTAAAATATTAGCTGCATTAAGTTTTTAAGAATTGCAGAGGTTTGAAGTTCGTTTTGTTTTATACCACTAAACGTCTCTGCGCCTAAGATAGTTGGTTTGGGCTGCATTTGCAAACCTTCAAGGCGATGGTGTCGTGGTTTAAAAAGCCTACTCTTGAAGATCAGTTATTTGATCTAAAGTTCACATCCAAGCAACTTATAAATTTTTCTAAGAAATGCGATAAGGAAGAGAAAGCAGCAAAGGCACAGCTTAAAAAAGCAATTCAAGCAGGAAATATGGATTGTTCGCGAATATATGCTGAAAATGCCATCAGGAAAAAGAATGAATCCTTGAATTATATGAGGATGTCTTCAAGGATTGATGCTGTTGCTGCGAGAGTGCAGACAGCGGTGACTACTCAATCAGTGACCGCGTCCATGAGCAATGTAGTTAAGGGCATGTCGGCCGCCATGAAATCCATGAACTTAGAGAAGATTTCGAATCTAATGGATCAGTTTGAAAAGGAATTTGAAAGTCTAGATGTACAATCTCAGGTTTTTTTGTCATTTTGGTTCTAACTTTTGATCCCATAGGTCATGGAAGGAACAATGAATAACACCACCTCGCTGAATGCGCCTTCTAACGAAGTAGACCAACTAATGCGAGAAGCTGCTGACGAAGCAGGAATTGAACTAGACCTAAACCTTCCCAGTGGGGTCACATCAGCAATCACTGCTCCACATGCTTCGGTACCTGCGGAGGAACATGAATTATCGGAACGTTTGGCCCGTCTTCGGCAAGCATGAAGTCTTACTGTTTTGCCGCTGTGATGTTCTCTTTCACCGAATTGTATACTACTTATATTTTTTTGCTTTCGTCATAACTAAAAGGTGCCAGCATCGTCTGTGTTTAATTCACCTTTGATTTTCAAATAATCATTGTTGCTTGCGCACGCTACCTTGAGGGTTCTTAAAACTATTCGTTCAGCTTTTCATGTTAGTTTTAATCATTTCCTAAAACCGATTTTTGGAAAGCACTAATATTGTCATCTGTACTCTCTGAAACATTTACTTTATTGGTCCTAATGTTGTAGTCAGAACACATTTTCATGAACAAAGTATCTGCGTTGAAATGGCGCTATTAATGTTGCATTTAGTCGAAAAGAATATTATAAATAGGTAGTCTTTCCTGCTTGCTTCATTTCTTACCTACTTCTTAAACTAGTTTTGTAAAAGCAGTCTTTGTTGATTGCTATCAGATAATTTGCGAATCTACGCCTTGGTTATCGATGCAGACATTACTTAATTCTATTGTTGGCACTACAGAAGGCGATGTAAACACCACCATCAATCATGCTAGGTGTTTATTAACTTTGGGTCCACTGGCTTTTTTGTGTCGTTTTAAGCAACTTGATTGTGTGGGCTAACGGCTAAAGTAGGAGCCACGTTGAACTAACCACAGCTTAGTCCTGATGTCTTCATGTGACCCACTTTTCGAGTGCTTCGTGGAGTCAGGCATCACCAATAACTTGCATGCAACAAGTTGACATGAGATGTCCCCGTTCCTTTCGGTTTTTTTTTAGAAACCCATAAACCTATCTCACCATTCTCAGATAGTGGTCACAAAAATATTTGCTAACGGACAAATAGTCCTGACAACGTCAGGATTAGTTCTGGATTTTTGTCTGTAGCACATTGATTGTGAAAAAGTCTAAATCCGTCATTCACAAATATTTATAGCATAGCGATAATGATGGCGGCATTAATGGAGACTAAACAATTCAAATACACCAGCCCTCAATTTCCTAGAACCATCAGCAGATTTTCAAGAAGGTGTTGTCGGTGGGCCGCATGTCCACGAAAAAAAATTATGTGGTATTATCTTTTTGCATATTTCTGGCCTTAATCACAAATGCTGGTCAATTATTGCCCAATTTACTGATAAGTCTAGTTTAGTGACTTACTGACTAATCAGATCCGAAATAGCGCTCACATCTGGAACACAAAACAGTAGCAAGGTCCATCACCTTTGTCATTACCACATGCCGCATCTCAGGGTATACTGCCACACCCTTAAGGGTCAACTCTGCTGCCAATTCACTAAATGGTTTAAAACCCTTGTTCAAGCCAGTCACTTTTTTCAGCGCTAATAGAGCAAGTCATGAATCAATCACAATGAATATATTAGAAGTTGCCCTCTTTTAATCAAACCTGATGATAGTTAGAATTAATGTTGACTTGGACCGTGAGTTGATTTCTTTGCTCACTTGCGCTGTACTTATCTTGCTTGTTTTGATTGATAAAATTTATCCACCTTAAATCCAGAAATTACGACTTCGAAAAGCAGCCCGTAGGAATGCATAATAGGTCAAAATCTATGGGAGAACGATAACCTGTAACAATAGTAATATGTGAAAATAGGACTAGCATTAACCAAGGAATCAAAAGAATTAGAACGGATGAAACTAATTCATAAATACCAGGAGGTTTAGTGGTGATGTTTGTTCAAATTATGTCGTTTACCTTGATTTGTCTGTCCTTTTATCCTCATGTTTTATTGTTGTAATTGCTAAGACAAAACGAAAGACAGAAATCTGATTAGTTATTATAAGTGTGCAATTAATAACTTATCACAATCTGCTTGCAGTCTCCAAAGTACAAAATCGCAATGTTGATCCAGACCTCTACCCGAGTTCTAAACCTTTTCTGTGGTTTTGAAGTGTTATTCACAGCCTCATGTGAGTCATCTGGGTGAAAAAAATCTGAAAACATTGACTCCCCAATCGCCTGATGGGAGAAACCGTAAATTTTAATTTAAACCCATAAAGAACCCATCCCCAGATAACAAGGTGGTTTTAAAACAGGGAAGGCAATAGTGGCTCAATTTACACTAGACTCCTATGTAATGTAGTGCATTTCACCTAATGAGTAAGAATTCTAGTGTGGAATTTAATAACAGAAGAACATCCAAGCCTTATAAATCAACATAATAACGATGAGAACATAATTACTGCCTGTAGTATAGTTAATAAAAAATTAGAAAATACCGACTTCACTGATTTGTCGAGATTACAATGAAGATTTATAATAGGCTAATCCTGATGACACGTAGCTGACTCTTAAGTTTGATTAAGTCTTATTCTGTTAGGGGTTTAGCAAGCGTTAACTTCAAGTCTAACCAGGATGTGTTTTGAAACCACGCGACGCCCACGTTCTGCGTCATACCAAACATCCCACGTTCAAACGGGCTCCTATGTACACTTTTAATCCATTCAGTTAGCACATGATAATTTCCGTAACTAAATTTACTAGATTTGAGTGTGACACAGACTAACCATGCACCAATGGTGCGTGACGAGATCCATTTGGAATTCACTGCTAATTTTAAATGCTTAAGAATACTCCCGCCAGCACAACAGGTTAAAATTTAATGAACTTTTAGGCTAAGATGATTAAAAACCGTGTTATTTCGCCAGGACACTTTAAGAATTAAATGTTATAATTATTATCAGGCGAATTGCCACTGAATAATATTTTAAAGTCAAATGCAACCAATGCTGAAGACTTCCCGGCTTTATGTTTATGCTAACTGAATCAAAATTTGACATTGTCCGGGATTATTGCTGCTACATCTGAAAAGGCATCGGCAAGTCAGCGACGACGACTTGGAGAGTAAAAGCCAGATGGCCTGTAGGAGGAAAAGGAATCTGCGATGGATGAAACCATGTTCCTGAAAGTCAACAGGAGCATAGTCCATCGTTTACTATTCTCTTGGGTTACTATGATGCCGTATGTGGGGTATCGGGGAGTGTCGAACGGAACATTTTGTCAATCATCAACAGTGTAAAACAAGCCAAAGTTGTAGTGTGGTGTGGTGTGGCGTCGTATCAGGGCGCAGACATATTAGGCCACCTGGCCGCAGCCAATCCCGTGTCTCTCTGCGTTCCAATGGCATACGAGGAAGATAAGGAGCCAACCAGAGAAGGACACGACTGAGGAGCAGTATATAATGAGCGGCGTGGCCAGCGTGGTGGACTCGGATGGAAGGCGCCTGACGCGTGGCTCTGGCTTCTGATTGGTCAATAAAGCCTGATCTGTTGTACCGGTCTTTTTCCTATTAGGGCTCGGGTATTCTACAGTGGCGTCGGATCAGGGCGCAGACATGTTGGACCA